TTTTAATAACGCATTACGTAGCTACATAGAAAACAAGTAAATATTACAGTAATTGATTGTATTTTAATAAAAAATAATTAATTAAATTGCTAAAAGAATCGATTTTAAGACATACAGATCTTTGAAACATTTACAATTTGATTTTATAAATTTATACAAATTTATAAAATCAAATAACTTTTAAAATCAACTGGTGTAGACCATACAAAATTAGAAAAGGGATTAGATTAATTTTTGTTAATATCAAATGTTACTGTATTATTTTAATTAAATATACAAATCTGTAATCCATTATTATACAATTAATCGTAACATACACACATATACAGGATATCCAGTATTCAACGGTAAAGCGCTCGTGGGTAAAATGGTAAGATAACTTTTCGATTTAGTTTAGCCTCTACTTGTCCACGAGCTTTATTATTGAATATTGGACACCCTATATACATATTATTTGACTACGCGAGAAATTGATTTATTACTAGTCGACATATTGCATAAATTAAAGACATCTTAAATCACTATATTTACGCAAAATTTGTGTTTCTTTCTTTCGATGCGATCGAAAGACTATTATAAACATAAAATATTTTCTAGCATGGAGCAAGGATTAGGCCAACCGGATGCTTTATGGGAAGCAATAAAGGCTCAAGTAAATAACGAAGAAGTAGATCCAAACTTAAACATTGATGTAAAATCAGTAATGGATACTTGGACTACACAAGCCGGATACCCCATTGTAACAGTCGACGTCAATGACAACGGTATATTGAGTATTACTCAAAAACGCTTTCTTTTGAGAAATTTGGATAATATTGCTACGGATAACATTTGGTCTGTCCCGCTCACGTTTACTATAAAAAGTCAAGCAGATTTTACTAATCTGATTCCGAAATATTGGCTGTCTAACGAAGAAAGCACCGCTTCTTACAACATTGACCCGAATGAATGGGTTATATTTAATCTTCAATCATCAGGTTAGTACCAAAAAATGTTTTTAACAAGAATAACTTACAGAATTACTTGTGAATATAATATCTAATACGCGTTATTTATTAGACAATTACACTCGTATGTTAATTATTAAATTGTTATTAATTGATAGGATAAAATAAATTGAAGGAAAAAATATTTTTTCTAATTTCGTATATGTAATATATATTTAAAATATTAAACGAAAACTTTTACAATTAATATCATAAATTTTTTAAGATAAATATTTATGTAAATATTTTATTATAAAAACTAATTTTAATATTTTTATTACAGGCTTTTATCGTGTAAATTATAACAATCGCGGATGGAAAAACATTTTAGATGCCTTGAAAAATGATGATCTGGATAATATTCATGTGTTAAATAGAGCCGCAATAGTAGACGATCTGTTGAATTTGGGTAGAGCAGGGTATTTAGATTATGTTACGGTTTACGATGGACTGCGTTATCTCTCGAAGGAAACACATTACCTGCCTTTTAAAGCAGCTTTTAATGGTTTGGAATTTCTAAATAAGCGATTTACGGGATCATTGGAACGCTCCTTATTTAAGGTTTATTATTGTTAACTATATATAAAACACAAATTTGTAATATGAAAGTATATAATTAAAAAGCAGACTCAATCTTTTAATTTCAGAAATTCAAAAATTCTAAATTATCTGTTAAAGTCTTTTGAATAATTTACAATTAACATTTTTTTATTTAAAATTATTAAAATACATATTTAAGTAATTCAAATTTAAAGATATTTATATAAATTCATTTATAAAGAAATTACAATTGTGTTACACATAACTTTATAATATCATTTATTTTATATTTCTAGGCATACGTCAAGTCTCTTATCGAAAATATACACCTCCAGCTAAAATATGATGATAACGAAAATGATGGCAGATTAAAGATTCTGTTACGACGAGATGTGAATAATTGGCTTTGTAAGCTCGACAATATAGAATGTGTAACGACTTACACAGAGAAATTTAAAGAGTGGAGAACAAATCCTGCAGCTAAGTAAGAATATAGCATCCTGTCATTTCTATTGCGATTTCCATAATGCACATATGATTATGCATAGTAAAATTCAATATTCAAGTCTAATATTTTAATGTAACATTTATATATATATATATATATATATATATATATATATATAACTTTTTGCGGTCATCTATCCTATAAAAAGTTAGAATATTCCTTTAACGTATAATCTTCAAGAAATACTTATTTTTTTAATAATTTTATTATAGTCCAGCTAACGTTTGTTTAATATTCGACAGAATCGAACCGAACGCAAGATCCACAGCGTACTGTACAGCCATGAGACACGGAACTTCCGATGACTGGGAATATTTGTGGCAAGAGTACTTTGATTCTAATTATCCGACCGACCAAATGGTGATCTTAAACGCTTTGGGATGCAGTCAAAATACCACCATCTTAGAAGAGTAAGGCTTAAAATGTGATGAAATTATTACCGCTAACATACGGAAGTAAGATTGTTTCAAGATAACAAAATTTAAAGTGTTTATTATTAGGTATGACACTATTATTGTAATAGATTATCTTCACAGGAATGATTTAAATATTTTTTAA